AGCAAATTAAATCATTATATTAAAATTGTATAAGAAAATTGTACCAAAAGGATTTGTTGATTGACTAGGATATGTCGGGCACCGTCTCACAGCAACCGGTCGTTTCGTTGTGGACCCGGTTCGGCTGATGATGAGCGTGATTTAGAGACCCTCTTACAAGTTAGTGTCGATAGAGAAAAAAAGAATAAAAAATCATCATATAGGGAACGTTAGTAATTATTTGCTGTCATTAGGCACGGTTCGCTTAAGAGCGGTCTTTTTAAATTGCAAGAAAACATTAAAATACATTTGCATAATAATGAATATCAGATCTTTTATTTTTAGGGTGCATACAGAACTGGCTCTTGAGATTTTGCCGCATGAAGCAAAGTTGTTTGCCGCTTCTATATTTTTAAAAATTGTTTCAGAAAAATTATATTTAATTGTTTATTTTAAATATAAAAGCAGATTCTAAATGTCACTTATGGTAGCTGTTATTTCGTTATGAATGTGTCTCTTTAATCCGATAAATTCAGTTCGTAGACTATCAATACAGCTTTCAGGTTAGATACTTCTTTTATTGTTTTGACATACGCATTTCGGACTTATATAAACGTTAAGTCCCTCTTCATTGCAATACTACAAATTGTTAAAAAAAAAACACAATTAGTAACATGACAAAATTCTTCTCGTGTAGGTCATATTTACTGACATAAAACTATCATACTTAAAATTGTTATACTTATACGATACCTATGGTTCTCTCTTCTAAAACCACGGTGTATAACGGGTAACATTGGAAAGATTTTAAAAATAGAAAGATTTTATTTTGGCCCCATCTTTGACCAATAATTTATAATAATAATAATAATAATAATAAATATAAAACGAAGGTTGATAATATTAAAAAATCAGGAGTTGTATATAAAATTAATTGTAATTGCCAAAAACCAAAAAATTATATAGGTAAAATTAGTAGAACGTTAGAATTAAGAATTAAAGAACACGGAGCAGCAATTAGATTAAAACACAATAATTCTCCGTTGTTCAACCATATAAAAAATAGTAATTGTAAAATGGATAGAAATAACATAAAAATAATTCATTTGGAAAAAGATATGTATAAACGTAAATTTAAGGAACATATAGAGATTATAAAATTTAAAGATGATAATTTAATAAATAAGGTAAAGATGCCTATTATGAGATAGGCGCCAAATATGAGATACCAAGGTTTTGGCCAAACTATTAACGGCAACTATTTGGCTCTAGTGTTTTCCGAAGCGTCCTGGCAATAGCTTCAAACGTGTGTCAGTGCACGCTGGCCAGAGGTGCTGTTAGATCGTGGGTGTGCAGATTTTCACAAAAGCACAAAACAAATTTTTTGACATTAAATGTTTACGAGGTATGTAACAACGTTATTATTACGCTAAATTCTTTTAATTTACATTCATTGTATCAATTATACGGTCAATTTCACGATATTAGTGCAGTACTATTGTTTTCTTTGTCAGCAAAAAAGTAGGCAGCCATTTTGTAAAATTTGAATGTGTTCCCAATATGAGACACATGAGGGTTCCTAATATGAGATATCTCATTTCATATATGAGGTGAAAGTATACGTATTAGTTTAAGTTCTTTTTTTATATATTTTAGATGGCCCCAATTAAAAGGAAAACCTGACACCACAGTGCCATCATACGAGCCGTGGATGCAGTACGGAGCAATCAAATAGGTTACTTAAAGGCATCAAAACAATTCGGTGTTCCTAAGAATACCCAAGAAAAGGCCGGATGGCCGAGAGGTCACGGTGACAGCCTACCGCTCTGGGGGACCCGGGATCGAATCTGGACGGGTCAAGACTGTCCAGAATCTGGGGTACCCCTAGTATCTCATAATAGGAGACCATTTACTTAAGACGTGATTTCGGACTTTTTTCATTTTATCTAATATAACTAAAAATGTATTATGCTTAGGAGTAAATAGCAATTATATTGTTAAATATATTAAATTCCCTATTCAAAATTGTAATTCGTAAAGCTCCAAGTGTAATAGTTATTTTTTTTTATAGTCAAAAATAAAAATGGTATCTCATATTCGGCATCCTTACCTTATATCAAATGGTATGCAAGTAGATCAACAGTGGTATAATATAATAGAGGGCGCTAATAAAAAAAATTGATTAGTGGCCGAGTGGTCTCCATTGCCGCTCAAAGCGGTGGTGACCGGACCCTAAACACTGGGAAGTTCGGTCGGACAGGCTGGCTGCTTGTAATTTTCCGGGTTTTCTCCTTGCCAATAACGACTGAATAGGAGGACAGTTCCTCATAAAAGTCCTCCCGGAAGGCATTCTTTCCCCGCGCGAGCGTTTAGGCCGTTCGGATACGGCTGGCTCATCGGTCGCAAAGCGATCATCACAAACACGTCAATCGGAGAAAGAGCCTAAATAGAGCTATAATCTCCATATTAACCGAGAAGCAGAAAATAGAAAGAAATAAAAAATTGATTGTAATGTATTTATCATAGTGTTGTGACAAAAAATAATAAGTGAAATATATTGTAAAAGTGTGTATGTATTCTCTTGAAAATGTTTTAATATTACTATGCTACGTATAATTAATCTGCAAAAAGATTATAATTGCAGTGACTGCGACATTATATTGTAGAACATACACATTCTTTAAAAGTTGTACTTATATAAGATATTATGAGCACATGTTAAAAGTGAGTATCGTGTTATATTGTTATTTTATTTAGATATATGATGTTATAAAGTAAAAAAATTATAAATTTATTAATATATTATGTTTACCATATTAATGTTTGAAAATGTATTTGAAGTGTTTTTAATGGCTGTATTTTAAAATCTTTCCAATGTTACCCGTTATACACCGTGGTTTTAGAAGACAGAACCATAGGTATCGTATAAGTGTAACGATTTTAAGTATGATAGTTTTATGTCAGTAAATATGACCTACACGCGAAGAATTTTGTCATGTTACTAATTGTGTTTTTTTAACAATTTGTAGTATTGCACTGAAGAGGGACTTCACATTTATATAAGTCCGAAATACATATGTCAAAACAATAAAAGACGTATCTAACCTGAAAGCTGTATTGATAGTCTACCGAACTGAATTTATCAGATTAAAGAGACACATTCATAACGAAATAAAGTTAGATTTTATAAAATTTAAATTATAATTTTATTTATTTCATAAAATTAACCGTTCTTTCGAAATGTTGCCTTTGAAAATGTGCTGCTCTAAGCACCTTCTTAGAGCAGCACATTTTCAA